CCATCCCTAATGCCATCCCTGATGCCATCCTTGCTGGAAATTCCACCTCCAGCCTGATTGGAGCTGGGGCTGGGAGCAGAGAATAAGCCTCTTCCAGGAAGCGGGAACTGGAGAGCACTGGGCCAATTACGGCGGGTAACCAGAGCCCAGAGCCCTCTGAATTATTGATCCCACTGGGATCTTTTTCCTGCTGGCTCCTTTCCTGCAGCTCCAGCTGCTATGGCATGGGAAGGGGTTGAGCCCATCCCAGCATCCACATGTTGGTGGGCACATCCTAGCTCCAAGCTGGGAACTACCATCCCTCCCTGTTCAGCAACTGGGGGCTGCGTGGACCCCAAATTGCCTCCCCTTGGCAGGATCATCAGTGCACAGGGATACCCAGAGCACCCATAACCCCCTAAAAACCCCTCATTTTGCCCTGACAACAGGGACCACCACCACTAGTGCCCCGCTGACGGGCAGCCCCGAGTTCCACCCGCCCGGCTTCGACACGGCCAGTTTCATCGGCGGCATCGTGCTGGTGCTGAGCGTCCAGGCCGTTGTCTTCTTCGTCATCAAGTTCATCAAGTCGAAGGACAGCACCTACCAAACACTGTAAGGCTTCCACACTCTCCCTGGGATCCGGGGTGGAGGGGGGGACCCGGGCCAAGCCCACCCTCGAAGCCAAAAATGGGGTCACCCCGGTGCGTGTCCTGTCTCGCCGCTGTGTTGTCTCCCGTGGCTCTTTGTCCTTATCCAGTGAGGGGAGGATTCATTGTCCCTCCCCACCTGTCCCCTCACTGGTGTCTGGCTGTCCTGCCACCTCCTCTGTGTGTCATTGTCTGGCTGGATCCTGGCTCTAAACCCTGTGGGGAGTGGGGGGCACCCCAAATCCGTCCCTCTGAGGCTGAGCCAGGTGGGGGTTCACTCTCTTCCCACATCCGTGGGGCTCGTCTTGTCTAACATGGGGGGCTGTGCCCCATCTCTCTTTCCTTCCACGCTGCCAGAGAGGACAACCAGTAGGTTCTGGGTGCTGGTGGCCATGGGGAGGGGGTGCCCTCCCTGCACCCCCGGAGCTTCACCCTTCCCTCGCACCTCCCCAGGGAGGGGAGTGTGGCGTGGACCCTCTCCCCTGGTTTGCATGTCGGGTGTTTCCCACCTGGTTTGCTGTTTTCCTGTGAGTCGTTAGTGGTGGAAGGGAAGGGGGTGTCCCCCCTTTGCCCCCTTTTCAGGCACGGAGCCCCTTGGGGGGTGCAGCTGATGTACAGCCCCTTCTGCCACCGGGGCGAGGTGCCTCCAACACCCCCAGTCCCACCACAGCAGGGTGCAGCCCCCCCTCACCCCGAGCGTCCTCGACAGGACAGGAGCTGCAGGGCTCCCAGTTTGGCCCCAGTTAGCACCCAGCACCCACCTCGGCAGCCCCTGCCCTGTTGCCTCTCCAAAGATCAGGGGCTAGCTGGGGTGGTCTCTCTCTCTCCTCTCCACCCCTCTTCTCCTGGTGGTCTCTCTTTTCCCTTCAGCGTTTTGGCTGGAGCACCCACCCCCCTGCCCTGACACCCCCCCACCCCCCCTGACCCCCCAGCCCCCCGTGCCCACCGGAGGAGCGGAGCCAGGCCCTCGCTGTGTGCTTTTGCTGTGCCTCTGTGTTGCTCTGGGGGGTGTTTGGGGGGTGTTCCCTGTCCCCCCACCCCCTTTCTGTGTGTTGTTTTGGGGAGGGGGGTGCATGTCGTGTGCTGTGGGGTGACACTTGTAGCTCGGGCTGCCCCCCATTAAACTCTGCGAGGTGGTGTCTGTGTCGTGTCCGGGGGGGAGGTCGTGTAGCTGGGGTGGGGGTGCAGGGGGTGCCCCCCATCCGTGCCCTGCAGGAGTTCCCAGTGCAGTCCAACCCTTCCCCATGGCATGGGTGCAGCAGGGTGGGCACTGGGACACCCCTCCTGCACCCCACTGCCTGGGGGGGCTGCGAAGGGCTGGACCCCCCCAGGGTAAAGCCCTCCAGGACCCTTCCTGCCACGGCTCTTCTCTGTCCAATGCACCAGGATCTGAGGCCACCACGTGCCCCAGGCTGGGTGGGGGACACTGTCCTTGTCCTCCCTGGGGTGAAGAGGCTGCTGGTGCCACCCCCCCGCGGCCACAGAGCCCCCCCACACCACGACTATGCAAAGCTGGGGACACCAGGGTGGGACATGTCCCCCAGGCCTGACCCCTGTCCCTGTCCCCAGCACGGTGGCTGGGGATGCTCCGGGGGTTTGCACCCTCTGGCTGCTCCCCGGGGGATGCAGGTGGGCAGGGGGGGCCCATCCAGCCCTGAATCCCACCTGGGGCTCCTCCACCCTGTTCTTGCCAAGCATCCAGGGGACCTGGGGCACCCCAGGGATCAGAGGACACGTGGCCATGGCTGGCAGGGGGGGTCCTTTGCTGGCCGAGACCTCAGACCCACACTGGGGCAAAGCTTGAGACGGCACAGGGTGGGACAGAGACTAATAAAGGATTTTCCTGTAATTCCTGGTGTCTGTGTCACTGTCACCTGTCGCTGGCAGGCCCCCAGTAATGAGTGCTGTCCCAGATTTTGGCTGCAAACCAAATCTCTGGGGATGTGGCTGTGTCCTGCCCACAGGGTGGTGGTGGTGGGTGGCCCCAAATGACTCCAGTCCTCCCAGTGACCAGGGGAGAAGAACCACTGTGGGGTTTCCCAGTAAGGAATGGGCCATCCTGGTGTGGGAGTGACCACTCCACCCCACCCAGGGCTGTGACAAGGCCACTGGAGCCCCGGGGCTGCCACCCCAGGGGCTGGCAGGACAGTGATGGAGGGGACAGCTCCACGCTGGGAGCAGTGAGGTGCAGCAGCTCCAGCCCCAGAGTGGAGGGAGAAATCGGGGTACGGTGCCCAGAGCAATAAACAGCCACCAGATGTGCCCTCTGATGTCACTTCATTGCTGCTGGAAGGGGAGGGCACAGACCCCCAGCCCTGCACAGTGATGCTCCAGGTCTCCATCCCCTCAGGTCCCACAGTCCCTCTGGCACCAGGTGGTCCTTGTGGGACCGGGGGGCTACGCCCGGGGGGCCAGGTTGGTCCGCAGGGGCAGCAGCGCTTCCACCCACTGCCGGGGCCGCTGGAGGAGGCGCTTCCACACCCCCTGCTCCTCCGCCGTCGAGTCCATCCAGCCCACGGGCAGCCCATAACTGCTCCCTGCGGAGAGACCCCCACGGTCACCCCCCGAGCCACGGCACAGGGGGGCACCCTGAGGTGCTGGGGGTCCCCCCCGGCCTCACCGGTGCCCAGGCTGAGCCGGATGCCGCCCAGCTGGCGCTTGGAAAAGGCTTCCTGGTGCCAGAGGGTGAACTCGGCGCAGGCCTCGGCCAAGTCCTTGGCCTGGAAGCCGTCGTAGACCATGGTGTGGTTAAAGAGGGGGTTCAGGTTCCGCTTCACCACCCGCGTCTTCTGCCGGCTGGCCTTGCTGTCATCCGGCAGCACGTAGCTGGGGGGACACAGGGGGTGAGGGGACACTGCCACCAGCCCCCCTGGGTGCCCCCCAAGGTGCCACCCCCACTCCTACCACTGCACAAAGGCGTCCACGGTGCCGCTCTGCAGCGGGATGAGGCTCTGAGCGTCCTTCACCCAGATGTGCAGCTCGCCCGTGGGTGGATTCCCCCTTCCTGCGGGCCAGAGGGGTCAGGGGCACCCTGCCATGCCAGACCCCCACTCCAGCTGCCCACGGGCACCTCTCACCTTCCGAGCCAGCAGGGATGAACTTCAGTGCCAAGCTGAGGTTGCCCCGGCTGGCGAGGCCGTCCGAGGGGATGGGCATCTGTGGAGGATGGGGGGTTACAGGGGGCTGTGGGTGAAAGGTGGAGCTGGGGGGGCTGGGGGCTCACCCGTGGCTGGAGGTTGAACCACTCAGGGCGTGTGTTGGCCCAGTCCCAGGCACCCAGTGCGACCTCCACCTCCCCCAGGAAGAGGTTCCTGCCCAGGCTGTCGTGGTGCCACACCGAGAGGTTCAGGGTCCGGCCCTGCAGGTCCCTCTTCTCCAGCTTGTACTGGTGGGGAGGGGACACAGGGTGAGATCATCCACCCCCACCCAACCAAGCTGAACCAGGGGGCCCCCCCAACACAAACCATCCCAGGGCAGGGGTAGAAACCTTGAGGGTCTCATTGAAGATGGGATCCAAGCTCCTCTTCCTCACCGCGGTCTTGCGCTTGCTGCGGTTGGACTTGTCCGGCAGCAGGTACGTCTTGATGTACCTGGCAGCCAAAAAATGGGGTGGGTGCAGTGGGTGCCAGCGTGGGCACCAGCTGGGCAGTGCCACTGGGGGCTATGGCACTCACGGGTCCGAGCGCTGCCTCTTGGCCTCGGCCAGTTCCCGGCACTGCACCACGTGGACCTGCAGCTCCTTCTTGGCCGGGTCGTAGTGGAGGGAGAACTGGACACAGCCCCTCACGGCCACACTGCCCAGCTCCCCCTCGCTGTACAGGCTCATCAGGCTCCCACTCAGCTGCAGGGCAGGGGGACGGGGTCAGTGGGGTCAGGGGGGGCTGGGGAGGTGACCTCCCCCACACACCTCCAACCAGCCCCCCGGTGCCGTACCGTGGAGGAGCTGAGGCTGGACACGGAGGAGCTGGTGCTCAGCAGGCTCGGGGGGGTGTGGCCGTTCTGTGGGGGCACCTGGTCTGGGAGTGTCTGATCTGTCTGGAGGGTCTCCGGTCTCTGGAAATGCAAGGAGGGGTCAGCACCCTCCCCAGACCCACAGTGTGTGTGGGCACGGTCTGTGCTTTGCTCAGACCATACAGGCTCCCTCACAACCCCATACAGCCCCCTCCAGTCCCCTAAAACCCCATAAAACCCCCTCTGACCCCATACAGCCCTATACGTGCCCCTCAAACCCATACAGCCCCCTCTAGTCCTCCAAACCCCCCCCGAAACACCTCCAATCCCATACAGCCCTATATGTGCCCCCCAACCCCATGCAGCCCCCTCCAGTCCCCCAAAACCCCATAAAACCCCCTCCAACCCCATACAGCCCTATATGTGCCCACCACACCCATACAGGCCTTTATAGCCCACTCCAGCCCCCTCCCAACTCCACACAGCCCCTCCAACCCCATACAGCCCTATATAGCCCCATATAGTCCTATCCCCCCCCAAATGCCATCCAGCCCCCCCATCCCACCTGCCCAGCACTGCTGGGTGCAGAGTCGGGCTCCTCCTCATCCTCCTCCGTGCTGGATGAGCCGAAAGGGTTCCCACCTCCCGTGTCACCTGCAAGGGTGTGGGGTGGCACCGACCCAGCAGGGGTGGGTAGAAGGGTGGGGGTCCCCTTTTTTTGGCAAGAGGAGCAAGATGAGGGGCCACAATGGGGAGCCAGGGGGGAGGTAGGAGGCTGGGAAGCAGTGCCTGGGGGGCTCCAACCCCCCAGATCTCCCCAGCACCGACCCCCCATCCCGGTTACCTGTCTGGGCTGGGATGTCCTGCTCCCTCGCTGGCATGTCACCCTTCTGTGGGGGCTGTGACACGGGGGCCTCCTCCAGGGCTGGGGGGCTGGGCTGTGAGGTGGCACCAAGGGAAAGGGTGTAAACAGGGACCTCCTTCTCCCCTGCCTGCTCCCCTCAGCCCCTCTGTGTCCCTGGGGACAGCGTGGGGGCCATCCCATGGGACACCTCCCATCGCTCCACAGGGTTTGGGATCACACACAAGGCTGTCCCCAACAGCACCACACTCCTGGGGTGCCACTGCAGGTGCTCCAGGCTGCAGAGGGGTGACCCTCCAGCCACCCATCGAGCCCTTCACCAGGGTCAGGTACCGCTCAACCCCCCACCCAGGGACCCACCTGGGGCTCGGTGGCCACCAGCTCCTCCTCCCTGGGGCTGCTGTGGGAAGAGACCACCATTAGTTTGGTCTGGGTGGTGGACAGACAGACAGACACTGCGATGGTGGATGGACAAATACTGGATGGTGGACAGATGGACACTGGGATGGTGGGAGACACTGGGATGGCAGACAGATGGACACTGGGATGGTGGACAGATGGACACTGGGATGGTGGGAGACACTGGGATGGTGGGTAGACACCAGGAAGATGGGAAACACTGGGATGGTGGACAGACAAATACTGAATTGTGGACAGGTGGACACTGGGATGGTGGGAGACACTGGGATAGTGGACAGATGGACACTGGGATGGTGGACAGACAGACACCAGCTGCGGCTGCACCATCCCCTTCACCACAGGCTCTGCTCCTCAATCCCCACCTCCAGCCCCCCTGTGCCACCCCTGGTGGGTACCAATGAGATGTCACCAGCCCTGGTGTCACCGTGGGGTGACAGCCCTGCCTTTCCCCCCCCTCACCTCTCATCCGTGTCCGCCGTGCCATCCTCATCCTCCTTCTCCTCCGCCAGTGGCTCTCCGATGGCCTCCAGCTCGCCCAGGCTGGGCCCACGCTCCAGGTCCCCCGCTCCTGGGGACACCGGGGACCTCAGCGGGCCGAGCCCTGGCACCTCTGTCC